CCAACTCTGAAACCCGGCCCGTTGTTCTCATCTCGCTGAAAATTATTTTTTTTTGTTTTGGGATGGACCACGGCTGCCGAGATATTGAGATGGACCAACCACCCAGGGTGTTTCCATGACTGTCGAGAGTTTGTTTTTCCTTCTAATGCATGTGTGTGTAGGCAGGACCGGACCGACGATCGTCCATATTTCGAAGATAATAAATATATAGAGTCCTTCTCCTATAATTTTATTCCTGAATAAACTCTTTTATTTTAGTTATTTCTTATTTGATTTTTTAAAATTGTGCACGTATTTGTGTTTTTTATGTACTTATATAATTAATCTTTCCTCATTGGTCGATTTTAATTTTTCTGCATCTAAAATCAAACTTCGAAATACTTATTTATAATTATTTAATCTCCCTTAAACTCTTGCACCATTTTCTTAAATAAATATCTCATGTTACCTGCAGGTTTTTGGGAACATTTTTATATGGCTTAAAAAATTGTAAAAAGTAATTTTAATAAACAATATGGTGTTTATATAAACGCATTCGGCATAGATCCCATCTTCAAACTTTTTGTTGAATTGAATTTAGTTAATTACTATTAAACTGGAATAAGCCACAATTAAAGATAAAAATACGTTTTAATGACGTTTCAATTTCCACTCATCGGAAATCGTTTTCAAAATACAAACAATAAAAGTTCTTCAATTTTACTGTTTGTATTTAACCTGTACTATGTGCAAGAAATAGATAAACACTTACAATTTGTTCAAATATTTTTGATCGCAAGATTCTAACATTACGAAAAAAAAAAACATAACTGTTATTTTTTTATATGGTTACTCTATTATGATTTTCTTTTGTATTAGGTTAAGACGTTACTATTATAAACTACTTTTTCAGAAAATGAACCGTTAATTTCAATTTAAGATATTTTTTTTTGTTAATAATGAGTTATGTTTTTGATCAAAATTTATTTTAAAAGTTCTATAATTTTTATTATAGCATCTTAATTTTCTTGAAATAAAATTTAAGTTTACAAAAAATCCTTTTTTTATATACACATTCATTTGTCAAAAATCACAAAAACCATAAAATATATATTTTTATATCTTGTTTAGAGGTTTTTAAAATTCGGTCATCTATGACCCCACGATAGTAGTTATGTGGGTGTAAATACACGATAGTAGCTCAGGGTTAAAGAACTCTGGATTTAAACTTTCACACAACAAGCAATCTAAAACATTTATAACTTTTTTCAATTACACTAGTAGTCGTTTTTCAAAAGAAAAACACTTCTGCAATAAACTACACCTAAAACAGTCTTCTTAAATGCATTTCCCGTAACATTGATAGTTTGTAATATAAAACATCAATATCTGCGTTTTTTATTCATATTTCAAATGTCGTCAAAGTTTTAAAGATCTCTAAAAATGAAACTTTTACTACAACTGGCCAATGAAAATGATCAATCGTTAGTTATTTAACACATTTATAAAATCTGAGTTTATTCTCGGCAAAATAAAAAGACTGTACATACGAAACCTGCGCTCTTCATCCGTTATCGATAGTTGAATATTATATTGGCTACCATTCTCGTTATCGTACCTTTATTGACAGCAGCTCTATTAATGAGTAGTCTATTTTCTCGTACCTTTGTCTTAGATTTTTCAGCCATGATATTCTTCTTTGACCAGGACCACGTTCATTGGATCTTTCCCTGATCCCATTTTTTAATATTAATCTTTAGTATTATTAACTTTTTGAATTGAATACTTCTTAACGCTCGGTATGATGTTTTTGCACGGCCCACAATTGTATTAAGCGTGACACTAAATTCGACCCGCGTGCCGTAACCTTGCGGTATACAGTAATGTAGGTACATAGTATACATTGTACGCATGTAAACTTATATTAAAAAATAAAATGACGTTTAACAAACGATACTACTAACGAGATAACTTTTTTATAACAATTCGAGAACCCGAAAACTTCAGTCCAGAACAACTGGATTTTGATTTTAAAATATTTGTAAAAGTCCAAAATAATTGGCATTAAGGTGATATCGTTTATATTAAATTCTTCTTAATCATTTCTTTTCTTTTTTTTCAATAATTAATAATGTATATTTAATTTAAAACACTCAATACTTGAGGAGTCCTAATCCGATCCTGAGTGGGCTAGTCTGTGTGTTTGTTAATGACACTATGATGAGTGTGTTGGGCGCTAGCCTTTTGTTCTTTCTCATCTTAGTTATATCTTTGCTTGATTTGGATGTTACATCGTAACTCCAGAAACGGATTAAGTAGAAATTTTAAGGTATTATACAGGGTGGAAGAAGTCTACGACATTCCTCATCACGAAAAAAAAAATCATAGTTCAGTCTGAAAATTAAATATTTTCTCATTTTAATTTGATCTCGTAAGTGTTCGGTATACTGCGAAAACCAGGTAAATGAAAAATTTTAAATATTAAGTTTAGTATATCAAAATTCTCAGCTTTTGCGATCTACATACAGGTAAAACCCAATTAATGATACGACTTACTGTTGAGCAGATAATTTATGTAATGAACAAATAAGTTACACCTGACAACTTTTTATTTTCAAATAAAACAATAGAATCGCTACTTAATTCCTTAAAATTGAAGTTCTGTTGCATGTAAAACAAAGTAAGCCTACTATTAGTGTGCCGGACAATATATTTCTACTGTATACCATATTCAGTTGAAAAGGGGATAAGTCTCTTTAAAACATTTTACATGTATAGTTTATTAAAATTTCTCATTAATATCGACTAGTAACAATTTTTAAGTGCACTGACTTCATTTTAACTAAAAACAGGTCGAGTTAAAATTTAGAAAAGATTACTAAGCTAAAACTATAAATGATCTTAATGAAACAGTTAGTTAGATATTAAATCTACTTCTTGACAAAGTATGAAAAGATGTACGTCCACTAAAACGTTGTCGAAATAATATCTCAAAAGATTGGGTAAGAAATATAGCAAAATGGAGCCGACTTAGGGTTTGTCTTATAAGATAAAACAAGAATAGACATTGCCAAAAGCACTTAACTAATTGTTCAGTGTCTTTATAATGTGAAGATGTAAGACACAGAACATTCAGTGAAGATTACAGACAAAGACTAAACAAAGATAAACAACCGTTTCCAAAAAAAAATTATATTGTTTTCCATATACTTACCTATATAAATTTTTATTTTAATAAATAAGAAATAAGAAATAGAGAAATTGAAATAAAAAATACGAAATTCAACAATGTTTTTCTGAAATGTATAGAAATATGGCAAGTTTTAAACAAATTGTTAAAATGTCAATTATTTACAATAAAAAACACTTTATCTTTTAACTGATCTAGTATTATGTATTTATTAAGCTTTTAGAGTGTTGAACGCCGAGGGTTTTAACTGAATTCCATGGTTTACAGTGGAAATTAAATAAAACATACAACGTTTAATAATTCATAATTTATTTTTTTTACACTAGGTCGGACTATCAGTAATTTGTTTTACCTTGAAACTAAAATTAACTGCGCTTCTCCATAATAACGTAGTTCTCTCTACGTAGTTAACAATTTTTTTTTTGCATACCAAAATGATAATTTCGTTTTTGGTCAAACTGTTAAATTTAGAAAAAAAATGTTATAAGACTTTTTTGCTTAAATGGTGCCTTCTACCTATACCTTTAAGGAACGCATTATTTTCAGGGGACACCTCGTATAGACCAGAAACCGTATAGACCAGAAACATTTTCTTATTGCACCTATTGAATATGTAGATGCTTATAGTAAGCGAAAGTACTTGGGCAAGATTTGATTAAACTTGTACTCGATATTTGTCTTAATTTTCAAGTTCATTTATTCGAGCATTCAACCTCGATATAAATTAAATTAATTAATTTAAACCCGCCTATCCTATGGCTACAAAATTAAGAAGAAACCAAGATAAATAGAGTATAAACCAAAGTTAAGTATTTTAAACGCAATAACTTAATGTAAGTGTAAACATTAATGAATGTAAAAATCCGTAAAATAGTTTCGAAACACAATTCAGATTTCTGTTATAATCTGAGCCTTCTAAAAATTGCAAGGCAAACAGACGTTGATAAAAGATGTTAAAAGGGACATGGGGAATCTAAAATTTGCATTTCCGCGACATGTCTTTACAACTAAGCAGAAATCCTTAGCGAATTGTATTTCTCGTAGGTACTCACACAGAGTATATCCGAATAATATGAAAAAGACAGCAAATATTTGATTTCACGCAAACAGCGCCTATGTATCTTTGATACGTATTTTGACCTAATAGGTCTCATCAGAACAGTTTATTCATAGGTGTTCTCAACGTGAAAAATCAATATTTTCTGTCTTTTAAGAAGCAACACTAAAATGGCTTCAATACGGACGCAATAGCGACATCTAATAATAAAAATCCGTAAAATAGTTTCGAAACACAATTCAGATTTCTGCTTATAATCTGAGCCTTCTAAAAATTGCAAGGCAAACAGAAATTTTTTACGGATTTTATTATTATTCTCCTGGCTGAAGAATGTAAGAGACTGGACAGGCATAGACACACATTCGATACTAAGACAGCTTAACATAGAGAGGTTATCTGGTTTAGCACTCATCAATGTGTGAAAAATTTCAATACCGAGTAAAAAAATATTTCACTCACTTGTAGCCTAATATGCATAATTATAGAAATAATTATTCTCAAATGATATAATGTTTTGTGTTGAATAAATTAAATTAAATAAAATGCTGTTTACACTCTTCTTAAGGTTCTACTTCATTACGGAAGGGTGGCTATAACTAAATCAAATTGCTCTCTTCGAAGTTCTATTTCTAAGCCGTCTTTAAACGCTTAAGCATAGAAAAACTACGCTCTGCTGCTACAGCACTGACTGGCAGTGTAATTAATATTTGCAGAAATATTCTGATAGTTGGATACATATGAATATCGCACTTTTCTAATACTTCTAAAATAGAATCAGGAAGTTTTCATAATATCCTGGAAGGCGTCAACAATTTTTTTTAGTGCAACTTTATTTTCTGGTGTATTATAAGTTTTAGGTAAAACAACTTGAAGACTAAATAGATTTATAACTTCCGGTGAAAGTCGTTCTTCTAAATCAGTTAAGATATTGTCTAAAACGGGTAAATAAATAGATCTTCGGAAATATTCTTCGCAAAAGTTAGCAGGTTGGTTTTGACGAGAAACTATACGAGGCATCTTCAATTCAATGTCTAGTTGTTCAGCCCATTTCCTTTACTTCATAGTAAAGTTTGTTAAAAACAGATTCAGCATTTTATCTTTTATGTGAAGAATGCATTTAGTGTCCTCAATGGCATCATTTGCCTTGTTTAGATCTAATTTTAGTGACTGACGAAGACGACTAAGTGATACTAAAACATCACTAAGACAAACTACTGAAATGGGAAATTCTGGGCTTCTAATAGTTTGCATTATTGAAAATGCATCAGCTGACGGTTTATTGTCCTTCAGGCCCCAGTTCCTTCTTAAAAACATCATGTCGTTTGGGAGAGGCGTTAGCAAAAGTTATAACTTTTCTCATAGTTCCTGAAGCATTATGACATGATATAAGTTTTGAGGGGCTTGTAATGGAAGTATTCAAAATATGTTTGCTACATGAACAACGCACAGCATGTTTGGTCGATTTTTTTAATTCGTTAACGGCACCTTTTCCATATTCTTGAAGTTCAATCATCATTCTGGCCTTATAAACCCTGCGTTTGTCCAAGCTTCCTCAAGAAGTTCTCTCTAGTCGTCCCTATCCATCGCTCTTCCTCCGCCAAGCACGTATTCCCATATTTTCTCATGTCTTCATCGATGTTATCAAGGAATCTTGTTCTGGGTCTTTCATTTCTTCTCTGACCAATGGTCTATTAAGAAACGTTGTTTTCATCCGCATTACATACCCCATCCATCTCAAACAAACGTCCTATCTTGTTTTACGATATCAGTTCCTGGGTAAATTCTAGAAAGTTCGAAATTTATCGTCTTCTCCACACTCCATAAGATTGGCCGTAGTATTTTTCTTTCGATACATCCTAACATGTTTACATTACTTTTTGTTAGAGTTAAGATCTCTGAACCATATATTAGGACTGGCGTATTATTGCTTTGTAGAGTTTTATTTTTTGTATTTCCTCGATATAATTGTGGATTTAAGGAGATTAAGCCAAAATAGCATCTGTTGGCCGTGCAAAGTCTGCGGTAGTATTATTTTTCAGTGTTAGGAGCGCACCCAGGTATACAAATTCGTTCACTGCTTCGATGACGTCGTTTTCTATAGGAAGTGGTCGTAGGATTTGTGGTTGCATGCTTACTTTCATATACTTCATTTTTATTGGTGTTTATTATTAAACACATTTTCTGTAGCTGATTCTTTTAATGCTACATACCTCGTATTGATACACGAGCCATGAATTATGTTTGGGGAAAATGGTTGAATACCTAATAAAAACACAACTGATACCATCAAGTATATATTTAATTAATAAATAATAAATCATACATTACAATTAAAATATAAATATATAAAACCATTCTTATCCATCAAAAAAATTTACAATAAAATAATATTTAACAACGTGGATGAATATCAATAACGACTGATCAATTTACCCTGTCTTATTTACAAAAATTATTATTACTACGAGTCAATGACATCAACTTGAATGAGCAATTTGCAGAATTAACCGGTAACATTTGTTTAAAATAATATTACAACAAACAGAAGGAGAATTGTGCTAAGTAATCTTAAATGTATTTTTCCTGTAGGCAAGTTTTATTACAAATTTTCCAAAACACACTGTATTTTATAAAGTGCTATAAAGTTAAAGTCAATTAGGATTTTGTCTTTTCTATAAGTCTTTTTGAAATAAAATGATTAATACAAAAACTCCTTTTTGCAGAAGGTATATTTATATAAAAATATCCAAAGGATTATTGAGAATTCATCAAAAACGTTTAGGTCCGATGAGACTATTATCAGTGAGTCTTAAAAACAAATAATTCAGCTTTATCTAATACAAAAGAAGTGACATGTTTAAAGTTTTGTGAAAAACATGTGGTAAATATTTATTTGCCATATAATTTATAGGCGAAAAAAAACTAACTGTAGGTTTTAATTCCTAAATTAAACATACAAATTAATAACTTATTGTCGATGATTATGGATTCAACCTTAAGGAACATCTTAAACCACTATTTGCAACGAGTTAACCCTACAGTTGTTCTACTGGTACAGTTGATGGAACCTAAAGAGTACCTCAATTGCAAAAGGTATTATAGGTCGCAAAAGTCAAGATGCCAAGACAAATCTGAAGAATGATCAATGATGAGAATGAAGAATGACAAATCACAAAACTGTTTATGTTACAAAAATTTTTTAACATTAAAATGAACTGTATTAATGAAATTTTGAATAAAATTATCGTGTAGGTATTGAAGGAGTTAAAATTTATTTTGTAAGGGACTTTATTGTAAGGACATTACAAACACGCATCTTTTTATTAGGTTCGGTTCATCATCTACTTTTTCATAAATACATACATAAAAATAAATTTCAATCTTTCAATATTTACACAATAAATTTATATAAAATTTGACACAACACATTCATTACAATTTAATTATTTTTATAGCATTA